GTGTGTCCAAATGGCTGTATATATTTTTTTATTGGAAAAATATATAGAAAGTTCAGCGTATGCCAGCATTTTAGGAGATTCTGGGACGTCGGGCAGATGCTGACTAAATCGCCAATGTGTGACAGGGGCCTTAGATGACATCTTGCCCCCTGTCTCAAGGTTATTTGATTAATAAAGTTACAAAGGCATCTAACTGCACAGCACCGATCACAGGCGGTACACTTTCTCCGCTCGAATCCATCCTCGGCGAATAAAGCTGTCACCAAAGGAAGGAGAGAAACTAAAGGTGCATACAAAGAAAGACACAGCTGCAGAGAAAGAGCGTGGGCTCATGCTGGTGACATTTTGGGATTGAATCTGCAAACATAAAGTTCTCACAATGTGCTTGGAGAGTAGTTTACGTGTGTGTGAATTTATTAAAACTGCTTGTAAAAATGTTTATGAAAAGCGTGCAATTTTGGCAGAGTAGTTGTGATACAGAATAAACTGTCTTATTAAACTTGATTTATAAAGGCTGTCTGGGAGTGTTTATAAAGACACACTTTTTATTTATAAATCCTGATTAAAACTTGAAGTGCTGCTTATAAATTCTGATCAGAGAGCAGAGCTGTTGGTCGTTACTGTTGTTCAGAAATCATCAATCCATCTTTTATAGTTAATCTCAGAGCATGTGAGCAGAGTGGAGCGTAGAGCGAGCGGCGGAGCGGAAGTAATATGGTGGAGGACAGAGCGGTTTTCAATTCAAAGCGAGGATTTTGCTCCAACCTTATTTAAATTCATGTTTGACTTAAACCTAGACCAATGCCTATGCTGTAGTCTGTGCCTATAATCAGTTATAGTCTATGTTTCAACTTCAACGCCGAGACGAGGATTGCATATTGTGAGATAAAAATTGGGATAAAATATCATAAAAACATTCACTAACTATACTGAAGAATACAGACTGGGTTTACATAAAGTGATCCTTGTGGTTAGATAAGTCATCTTTTTCTTAAAATAGCTGCATTTTTTCTTGGATTTAGGAGATAAGAGAAACATTTTGCCAACGGAACAAGACAATTTACGTTTAAAATAAGAAAAAACAATTGCATTGTCTCATTTCAAGTGCATTATATCTAATTTTCTTATTTTAAGAGTAAAAATACTAATTTCATTGGCAAACTATCTCATTTACCTACTCAAATTAAGGGTAAATACACTTAATTTAAGAATTTTTTTACTTATTTCTAGGTCGTTTTTCCAGTGTAGAGCCTGTTTTTGAAAATGGATGGCATACATGCATTATACGCTATTATCTCATTTGCAATGCGATGCAAAGTGACCTTTTTCAAAATAACAGCCTGTTAAATAAGACAATCCACATGTATCGGTCACATCATTAATTTAAACGTCGTGTCCGAGGGCCCTGGCTGTTTTCATCTTGCCCCCTGTCTCTAAAGGCCTGGTTATCCTCCTGCAGCAGTGTGTCGCAGCGAGCTTGTCGCAGATATTATCGATTTCTGCCCAATATTGAAGCGTGGTCTGCACTACGTTATTCCACGCCACAACGCCAGAAGGACAATCAGGAACTAGCTGTGGGTCAAGATATGGCCGAGGCGGTGAGGAGGTGGGGGATAGTTTGTGCAACAATGGAGGGACATGATGGCCAAAAAGTGCGGGGATCCAGGTGGAAAAAGTGTTCTTGCACACCTCGCTCTTCTAGCTGCTCCATCTTCAATCGTTTTTCACAATGGCGGTCATACAAACAAAAATAAGCCGGTAAGGAAGGAAACAGAAAAATACACATGGAGTAGATCAAATGTAGAATTGACCAATCAGAGGCCTCCTGTCTGCGGTCACCTACAATTTCGGAGGGGTGCACCAGAGTGTCTGCAAAAAGGGGCGGGGCATATCTGCATTCACTGCAACACGCGCAGACTTCCTGGTTTCTGAGTATAAATCAGCCTTACGGCTGAGTCCAGTCTCATGGCGGAAGCTTCTCAAAGTGTTTAGTTTATGTAGTAAACAAAATTCAAAGTTATTTTTTCATTGTAATACTTTGTAGAGATGTCCAGCAGGTTGCAAACCTCCCATAACCTCTTGGACCCAGATCAACATCAACTGTGTTTCCACCCACCTTCTTTTTGGACAACTCTGATTTCTTGGAGATGTTCCTCAGCTTTTTGTGCAGATGGTTTAAGACCTGGAAACCACAAAGCAGACCATGATGAGAGGCGAAGATGAATCTGAGGAGCATCTGGACACAACAGGCTTCACGCGTACGAGTCTAAAAACTCCTATGAAGCTGTTACACTCCTTACCAGCTGGTGGCAGTAGTGCACCTGAAGGTTTGTTCACCAACCGCGATTAAACATGAGGATAAACATGAAACAGAACCATCGATTGTACATTATCTCTTTGCCAAATTGCTTTAAGCACAGGAAGATTATAATTTTCAATCAAAGGTTTTATTTTGGTCTTCTTCTCGTTCTGAAGGCGGCTGGGAAACAACCTTGAGGATTGTAAGAGCTTCATCACAGGTTGAAGATTCCTCACCTGTAAATATCTGATCTGTATTAGTATTTAAAGTTGTTAGCCTGAACGACATGACGCGTAATTCATTCTGGTAAATTACTGTTATCTAAGGCCAGATCGCAGCGCGGGAGGCGGGACTATATGATGTGTCACTCACATTTACGTACAGCTCTGAACTAACTGTAGTTTCTGAATTACAGGTAGTTCAACTGAGTCAAGTCTGAAAAGGAGCCTGTTGATTGTGGAGCAATGATCCGTGGACCACAGGAGGCTTTTGATTAAATGCAAGTAACTTATAGTGGTGATGCCCCATCCTATGGCCTTACAAGGCCTTTCAGCTAGATCAAACAACAGGAAGTGTGTCATGAGCTTTTCTTATAGAACGGACCTCGTATATACGGTTTATCCAGATATATACAGTGGACAGGAATAAATAACGAAGAAGAGATTAAAGGTGACTTATGCTACGTTCACACCGAAAGCAGCAGAAGCAGCAGGTTGACATGCAAAGTCAATGGTTGACGCGCTTCAAGGCGCAGCCAAAGGTCCTGCAGTGCGTCTGAGCAGCTGAAGCAGCGAGTCGTGAGCTTCTGAGCATCTGACACGCTGCAAACGCAGCAGCTGCTGGAGGTGGAAAAACTGAACTTTAGCAGCTAGATGCGCCTCATCAACCAATGAGAGAAGCTGATCTGGGAGCTGGCAGGGAGTCAGACGCAGCGCTGCTGATGCAGAGCGCTATGATCACTTCTCTGGAACAGTTTATTAATGCCAATGTAGAAACCTGCCGGCAGAATATGTTGGCTTTTATTATCCTGCTGCCTGCAGTTCGGATTACGTACCAGAAAAACGCCTTCCAGCTGATGGTAATCTGGATGAACTGACTGCACAGACCATGTTTTCAGGAAGACTTTCTCACTTAAAAACTACTTTTTAACCCACTGCTCACAGCAAATNTAAGATATAAAACAGCAAGCAACGTAGTTAGAGACATGAATAAGTGATGATTGCACTGTTTTTCCCATTTTTACGTCCGTCCGCGGATCTGCTTTTTTTTTTTTCTGTCTGCCAGCGCATGCGCACTGATGTGGTTTTTTGATGAAAAACGTCCAAAACGTACGAAATAGTGTGCAAAACTTTTTGTACGATTTCATACGCACTCATAATGAGAATGTTGCTATGTTTCTTGTTGTTTTGTATCTTAGCGTTAATTGTACGTTAAATTCTATGTTATTGAATGGTGCATAAGATGCGCAAGGATATCTTGTCTCGAGGCAAGACGTAAAAATACGACGAAAAAACGTCAAAAACGTACAAAATTACGGTGCATAACTTTTCGTACGATTTCATACGAACTGATAATGAGAATATGTTGAAATGGGGCACATTGTCAAACCTACATGTTAAAATTAAGTGAAAATAGAGTTTTTGCAGTGTATGTTTTCAGCACAGGTTCCAGGACCAGTTGTATCAACATATTCTCATTATGAGTGCGTATGAAATCGTACGAAAAGTTATGCACCGTAATTTCGAACGTTTTGGACGTTTTTTTTCGTCGTATGTGCATGCGCATCTGACGCACCATTCACGAATATAGAATATAAATTACAATTAGCCCTAACCCTAACCCTAAGATTTAAAACAGCAAGCAATGTAGTTAGAGACATGAATAAGTGATGATTGCACTGTTTTTCCCATTTTTACATCCGTCCTCGGATCTGCTTTTTTTTTCTGTCTGCAAACGCATGCGCACTGATGTGATCTTTTGAGGAAAAACGTCCAAAACGTATGAAATAGTGTGCAAAACTTTTCGTACGATTTCATACGCACTCATAATGAGAATATGTTGCTACGTTTCTTGTTGTTTTGTATCTTAGGGTTAATTGTATGTTAAATTCTATGTTATTTAATAGTGCGTAAGATGCGCATGCGCAAGGATATCTTGTCTCGAGGCAAGACGTAAAAATACGACGAAATACGACGAAAAAACGTACGAAATTACGGTACATAACTTTTCGTATGATTTCATACGAACTCATACACTGAAAAATGGGGCACATTGTCAAACCTACATGTTAAAATAAAGTGAAAATAGACTTTTTGCAGTGTATGTTTTCAGCACAGGTTCCAGGACCAGTTGTATGGGGCCTGTTGGCCCCTGTTGGTCTCTGTCTAGAACCGCCAGTGGTATCAAGTTTGTTCGGCATGGAAACGATATCATCATTATTGATATGAATCCGCAATTGTGTCATCAGGGGGAGACGGGGTGGTCTTTTAACTGGGTCATAGTCCAGGTGCCCCCCCCCCCTTCAATGTATGGCCCTCTTTATTGACAGTAATGTCACACCTTGATAAAAAGCAGGAACTTCTGTTACAGTAATCTTAGTTCTTGGTGAAGGAGCCTCTTAGCAGAGCTCCTGATCTCTGCGCTTTTACGCGCCTTGGTTTCTCTCATCCTGCGCATTAACGCATTAACTGACCTTTGCGTAGCAGACCGAGATGAGGCAGAGCGGCAGCAGGTAGCCGAACACAAAGGTGCACATCACGTAGATCTTCCTGTGCTGCTCCGGCCAGACCTCCCAGCAGAAGGTGTTGTTGTCCTCCCGCTCCACGATGCTCTGGTAGTGCGCCACGGGCGCGGCCATCACCACGGACACCGTCCAGATCAGCACCACGCCGAGCAGCGCGTGCCTCCCCACGCGGATCGACGAGGCTTTCCTGGCGTGGACGATGGCCACGTAGCGGTCCACGGACATGGCGGAGAGCGTGAAGATGCTGACCAGCATGGAGACGGTGAAGAAGTAGTGGATGAACTTGCAGATGAAAGCTCCCAGCACCCAGGTGGGCAGCATGTAGATGGTGGACTGGAAGGGGACGCAGAAGAGGAGGTAGGACAGGTCCGCCACGCTCAGGTTGAGGATGAAGATGTTGGTGGTGCTCCTCGGCTGGCCCGGTTTGCTGCGCGCCAGCACGGTGATCACCAGGCTGTTCCCCAGCACCCCCAGGATGAAGATGATCCCGAATATGAGGAGGGAGATAAAGTTATCCACCCCCACTCCCATTAGGACTGTGGCCGGCAGCGCCCCTGCGCTGAGCAACTGGCTTTGGTTCTCCACCTGCTGCTCCATCTTCCTCACTTCAGCACATGTTGAAAGAAGAACATCTTTTCAGAGCAACGTTGATTCCCTGGAGAGGAAAGCGGCGATGAAGCTGCCTCCGCTTCACAGGCAACGTCAGCAAACTGTGCGCAACCGGTGCGTCTCCACAGCGGAGGGGGGGCAGCTGCTCACTTTAAGGCTTAATGAGCTTTATGTGAACAAGTAGAAAGCATCGACATGAGTGAAGGAACAAAATACAGAAACTATCCGCAAAATGCGGATTTATTTCTGCAACCAGGTTCAACTTTCACAGAAAAGCATCTAATTTAATTCAAAGACAATATGTAGGCTGAGACCTACTTAAAGTCATAAGATAGTCATATTTAAATGTCAAATCATTCTGGCTTGAACATGTATATAAATGCACTTTTTATCAGACCATATTGTCCCAAAAGTGAGAAAATTTCTATAAATAAAGAAAAAATCTGTTTTTTTTTCCATTATCTTCTGCAGGCCAGTTAGTTCTACTTCAGCCTGAACACCTAAATTCAGCCAATCATATATCAACGGTCATCTGTCAATCAAATGTTTTCGGTCATAGCATCTTGATTCATGTGTCGCAGCTAATATACGCAACGGTTAAAAATCAGAATCTTTTCCTTTCCCATTGAGTTCAAATGTGGTCGTTTCCGTCAAAAAACAGGAGACTCGACAGAAGCAAAGTTTCCTTCTGCCTTTGGCCGGCCCTGACCATAGATCTGAAATTCATTTAAGGAAGAACATAGAATCTGATGCTTCTTGTTTTAGCAGTAACATGTGGACTGAGTGGTTAACTGAAATTTACGATTGGTGAATTTGATGCAAGTTTTGATAAATTATAGAAATATAAAAAAGTTTGTTTTGTGTGTTAAACTTCAAAGTAAAGTACAAGCAGAGGGGAAAGAGAATGAAGTCTGCTGCAGCTCCCTGTTATAGATGTTAAAATGATCACAGAAGAAGAAGATTTTCCCCTAACTGCCTTAAACTAACCTTCATTTAACTCTGAACTGTTAAAGGAACAGAAATCAGAGTCAGACGCTGTTCAAAGCTGCAGCTTTTCACATCAGCAGCATTTTCTTCCTGAGAAAAACCAAACCATTAAAATGTTAACCGAGCCCAGACATGATTAGGTAGTTTGTTTCGCTGTGACTGCGGCCCTCTGCGCTGGTATTGATCCTCCCTGACCTGCTCCTGGAGCAGCTGATTAGCTGCAGCCATCTGGAGACGATGCAGAGGCTATGTAACCTGAGAGCAAAGGCTGATGGTATCTTTGAAGGGTGTCCTCACATGGTTTTTCTCTTGCTAATCCAATGAAGGCAGACAGACCCCAGAGCTGGAAATGATGGTGAGGATGATGCAGATGATGAAGATGAGGATGTGACCGCCTCTCCCGCTCTGGAAATTAATGGCCGTCATTATTTCAGCTTTGTGTTGCGGAGCTATTATGCTTTGGGGAGCTGGCGGCTGTTTTCGTAATCGCTTTCTCAGCTCGTGTCCTAAAGGAGCCTGAAGTTTCCATGGTGACCCGTTGCTCCATCGACTGAGACGTTATCCGTCAAACCGCCTGGGATGCAGAGTGGAGCTGAAGCCCCCAAAACAACCTGTAGTTGCCCCCCTGAAAATCGACTGGTGATGTTATCTACAGCGTGTCTGTCGGCCATGTGAAGATCCCAGCTGTGTCTAACAATTCTTCATCTCTGCCAAACTGCAAACCATAATGTCCTCATGTGACATACCTTCTGCTCTTTGATGTTCCAGCAAACATTTGAACCTCCAACCCAAACCAAGGAAGCTTTACCTGTACTAAGAAACATCCGCAAGCTTCTGCAGTCCTGGTGGAAATGTGGTGGAGTTTACAGCCTAAATTAAGCTTTCATCCTGATTTTGATCTGATGATGAAAAAGGGGTCCCTATGTCCTCCAGCAGTCTAAGCCTATAGCAGCAGAACTATAGAGATAG